GCCCCACTTGCTTTCTTCCTTCTGCTGCTGTGCTGGGGCCAAGAGGGGTGGCGGCAGTGCTTCAGGAGGGCGGGCGGATGTCTCCCCTTTTGCCTCAGTGCTGATCAGCTGTTGAGAGCCCAGCTTGCAGGTCCGGAGGAGAAGGCATGTCCCCGTTTCCGCCCGCCAGGTGATGGCAAGCATTTAATACTACTTGTAATATTTATAATATAAAATCCTAACCATAACAATATGATTATTCAAAGCCAATGTATTAAGAATTTGCTGAATGATACATAATGCACTAATAGGAAATGAGAGGGGAGGGGAGGAAGGAAGGAGCTGGGAATGAGATGGAGGTGTCTGTGTGTGTGTGTATGTGTGTAGGGTGGGGGTATTAGAGAGGGAGGAGGGTGTGTGCATGCACACATGCCTATTCGGGAGGTGGTGGGGAGATTTTATAAGCTTCCGGAGTGAATCCCTTCCCAATTATTTGTCTCCAAAGGTTTGTGCACAAGTGCCTGGGTCAATCCACTGCTTCCACTCACCTCCTCCCCCTTCTCCCTTTCCCCGCTGCTTTGATCAAATCAACAGGAGAATTGCTGGGGCTTTGACACCCAGCAGATTGGGAAGGAAGAAGTGGGTTTGTGCCAGCAGTGGATTTTTAGGGGAACTGAGCGTGAGAACCCAAAGTCCACCACCCCCCCATTAAAGAGAAAGGAAGGAAGAAATGAAGGAGCTGGAAATGAGATGAAAGGAAGGAGAGTGGAGGAAGGTGGAAGGAAGAAAGAATTGCATGTGGCCCCAAATAATTTTTAGGAAGGGAGGGAGGGGGGTAGGGAGAAAGGAAATATTCTAATACATTATTAATAGTATGTTTATTAAGAAGATACATTCAAATATTAAGAACTGAACACCTTTAATTTCTTTCCTTCCTTCCATCCTACCTCCTTCCTTCCTTCCTTCCTTTCTCTACTATATTGTTTTGCTCATTTCCACATTCTTAAAAAAACCCATAAATTATCTAAATGGGATCATTTATAGTCAAGTTAATGAATCTGAGCTAAAGCTTTTGTCACAGAGTGCAATCAGTTTTGAACAAGAATTCTAGAGGTCCTGTAGATGTGATTCCTAAAATGTGTGAGAGAGAGAGAGGAAAGAAAGAAAGAAAGAGAAAGAAAGAAAGAGAAAGGAAGAAAAAAAGAAAGAGAAAGGAAGAAAGAGGAAGAAAGGGAGAGAGAGAAAGAGAAAGGAGAGGAAGGACAGACTGCTAACCCTGGCACTAGACATGGCTTTAGAAAACGCTTTGAAACAGCACAGCAATCTAGTGCTGGAAGGGATCTCAGAGGTCATCTAGTCCAACCCCCTGCCCCAGCAGGAAACCTTATATCATCTGGATTATTTTAGTGCCTCTAACAGAAAGGAAAATTTCCAGAAAGGAGAAGAGGTTTACTAGAACAAGGCTGCTGTGCAGAGGAAGGCAGAGATAGCCATTGACTTATGACCACAATTGAGGCCAAAATTTTGGTTGCTAAGCAAGAGCGTTGTTAAGTGAATTTCACCACATTTTCCAAGTTGGCCATGCCCACCTGGTCACATGACCACCAAGCCACTCCCACCCGGTCACATGACCACCAAGCCACACCCACCTAGTCACATCACCACCAAGCCACTCCCACAAAACAGGCCACACCTACAGAATAGGTTCTAAAAAAATTTGAAACCCACCACTGGGTTACTTTTATCTTGTGCAACCAACTTTCCTCTTTCATATTTTCTTTGTTATGTTAACTATAAAAGGGGATGTAAGCTAAGGATTGGGGTTCCCTCTTTGAATGAGAGGAATCCTTTTTGTGTGAATGTCCTGAAGTAATATGTAGTACATACCAAAAAGTAGAGGGCTTTTAGCCCCGCCCCTTTGTTTTGTTTATGTTGTAGCCATGCCCCTTTTGTGACATGTTTATGTTGTGGTTCCACCCCTTTTGTGATGTTTTGTTTACAGTGTAACCCCTCCCCATTTATGACATCACCACACACCCCACACCCCTAACCTCCCCACCCTCATCACCCCTCCCACCACCACCCACACCCCTTACCTTGGGAGGTCTATAATGTCATATCCTCCAGCCCACCCTGAACTCCTTTTTAAAGGAACTACTTTTACGTCATTGCGAGCCAAACCTCCATGACCCATAACCCTCCTCACCCAGTAGTATTGGTTCAAAAACACGCGCCCGCCCATTGTGACACTCGTGACCTTTCACACGGGGGGAGCTGTAACAACAAACACGCCAGACCCACAATCCCTTTCAGCATGAATAATTGTGACGTAGTAATTATTCACCAGAGGAACTTCTCATTGGTCAGTATTTGTAGAGCGGGAGTTTGATAGCAGCAGCCAATGGCATTGTTGCTCTGCTTCATAGAGATGTAAAAATAAAATACTATATTTGCAAAGAAAACCACATTTCTTGTATGTGAGTTATCTATTTTACAAGGTCAGAAGCAAAATGAATGAGGAAACGTCCTCTGTGGGGCGAGGGAAGAGGGGGAACTGTCAGCATGAGAATAACGGCTTCCCAAAACTCGGCTTTTTACACAGAGCAGGAAGTAAAAACTATACAGGAACATGTTGAGGCATATTCCCAGAGAAGGGGGGAGGCTGGTGGACATGCGCAGTATGTACTGAGACCGTGGTAGCACGTGCGATGACCTTGACTAAGGCATGTTGGGGCTTGTCCCCTGGCTCTGGCTGCGGATAAAAAGAGGGACAAGGGTGCTATTTAACCGCTTAAGGCTTAGGCCTCTTAGATCTCAACATGCAATCTGACAAAGGAAATAATAAAAGTGTTTATAATGAAGAGCCATTTGATGATTTATTTGATGTGAAAATGACACCGGAGCCAGCAAAGAGACCCCGTCGAATTAGGAAACTTTGTAAAAAAATGTACATTGAGAGTATATGTGTCTTGGCAGTTAAGATATGTTATTGTCGATTCTGTCAACCACCAAACAATGACGGTATGCAGAATATGTAAACAAAAAACAAAAAAAAGTTTCATAATTTGAAAAATTGAATATATAATGTAAGGTATGTCTTTTTTTCAGAACTGGCACCTCAACTGAAAACAGGTCTGTTGCAAATCGTCAAGAGCTGTATTATCAAAATTCTCCATCATTGTTTAATGAGATGCCTGCAAAATGAAGACCAAAGGGATGGATCCGATGAAACAAGCATTGTTAAAAGCTTGTGTCTTCAAATACGTATCTAGATTTAAGATTTAAGATTTAGTTTATTTGTATGCCGCCCTTCTCCGGGAGGGACTCAGGGCGGCGAACAACTCAAAGGGGGAAAAAGGGAACATAAAACACAATACACGTGATTAAAATAAACAAGAATCATACAACCATACAAGTCGAGAGGGGAGGGGAACTCATCAACCCCAGGCCTGCCGGCACAGCCTCAAACCTTTATTTTTTTTTAACTTTCTTAAGCATTTTTTTTACTACCGGCTCGGGGAAACGGTACGTTTTACTACCGTTTCAGGCGGTCCGAACCGGTAGCATTTCATCCCTGCTACAAGATACCTTCCGACAGTGTTAATCTGTATTTACCCTGTTTCCCTGAAAATAAGGCCTCCCCGGATAATAAGCCCAATCAGGCTTTGGAGCGCATGCACTAAAATAAGCCCCTCCCCTGAAAATAA